GACACTGTTTGCAGCTGGGGCTGTAGGGGACTTGCCAGTCACAGAGTTGATGAGGATTACTGAATGAGGGTGTTTCCTCACCTTTATTTAAAAAATACTTTACATGCTAAAAATTTTCTTCTATTATAATCAGTGAATATATAAATAAATCCCAATAGGGATGACACTTTCAGTTCTGAAGAGATGTACACACGACGTAAGAAGGAATAGATTTAAAGTGAAAGCTCTTTCCCTCCCCTCATCACAGGCAGCTATTGTCAGACTGAAATAGAAAGTTTTCAGAAATACATTGCTTAAGAAGGGAAAAAGGGGAATGGTCATAAAACCCAGCAGAATTGCTGCACACAGATTGTTATTTGGCCTTTACATTGTAAATGGCTGGTTTTAAATAGCCTTGGTGCAGATGGTTTCTGCTACAGGTTTATTGATTAAAATAGCTGCTTTACATCAGCTCTGGGTTTGTTTATCCAGAGGCTTTTGTCTTCATGAATAATGTACCCATTTACTGAAATTTTGTTAGAATTCATCTGCTGAAAGCTGGCTGTATTTCTCTGGGTTCCTAAGCCTCAGATGACTAGGCTCAAAATTGTGACAGTCCCTGCCCTTCCCTCCTTAGAAATGAATATTCCCTCTTCCACCGTTCCAGTACTGAATAAATCTAGTGCTTGCACACTGGAGAGTGCACTTGGAAACAGCTGTGTGTGTTTGGCTGTTGGAAGAAGGCTTGTATGATATTGAAGGGTGTCTTGGCTATACTGGGGATTAGATTTTTGCCAGCAGTTGATCTAAAGTCTATAAGAGTAAGTGGAAAAAAAAAGTGAGCTTTGGAGCAGACGACTAATTCTGAGGCATAGTGCTGTTTTAGGTGGGCATGTCTCATGCCTTTAGTATCATAAGTCTTCCAATTCGCTGGAAGCAAATTATTATTCAGCCTTTGTATGTGTTTCTAAATATGTGTACCTCATTTCCTGGGAGTTCTTTGTGCATTCTGTGTTAAGCACAAAGGGTTGCGTAGGGAGTGGTGGAATAGGCAATGCACCGCTTCACGTTGCAGACTGAGGCTTGCAAGTGCTGTTATCTCTTCTGAGTAGAGCTTGCAACTCCGCAACAGTAGGAGAACACTACTGCAGGACCTATAGTGAAAGGAGGGGTACGAAGAGCATGGAAAGCAAACGGAGGTGGTAACATGCTTTCCCTCCTCCTTGCTTCTGATCCTCTTACCTATTGTCATAGTAATATTTGTCTTCCCCTTAACTAGTCACTACAGCAATAGCTCTTCATAAAGCATCTGTCAAATCAGGGCAAGAGAAAAGTCAGATTAATGCCTTCGGTGAAAACACTTGAAATTGGGCTTCCTTTCACATTTATGCTTGGGAAAAGAGCATTGTTGGTAGAAGAGCTAATTTAATCTCATGATCCTGGAAATGTAGCCAGTCATAGACAATCTGGCCTGTCTTTACTCTCTTGGGGAGGTGATGAGCCTTTCTTTCTCCAAGTTAGTTTTACACCAAAATAAAACCAGAAAAAAATAACAATTGATATAAAAAAATAAGCAATTCTGTTCTGAAATAGCCAAGAACAGGATATTGCAGTGCCTGAACCTTTTCCTGAAGATTTTTGCGATTTGATTTGTTTTGTTTAACAAAATGAAAATCTCTTCAAGATTTCATTCAGCAAGGTGTTTTGACCCAGGTGGAACCACAGATCTTGACAGCATGTCTCTACTTCTTTTAAATCATGGAGGTTGTGAGAATGATAACTTGCTTCTTTACGACAGTCAAACACACAGCTAGAATCTTACTAGGAGGGCAGCTGACAGGCACTAGATAGATGGTTACTGTGTGGATGTTAGCAGCTGAGAATCCTCCCTTCTCAGGATACCTGTCTGGTGACCAGTGCTGCCACAGTATATCCCTCACACTTCTCACAGACCTGAGAGATAGATGTGTGACCGGAAATATCAGCATCCACTGGATTTTTTTCCTGTCAGAAAAGCCCCTTGTGGCTGTGGAGTGAGTATGTGTGGTTTAGAGCCAGTCATTAGGCTTTCTTTCCTCCCTTAGAGCCTGTCATAAACACGGCGCAGACCAGACAGTGCATAAAATGCCCAACACTGTTCATGTGGACTTTTTAGCAGCCTCACTTTCTTACATTATATTTAATGACTTGGAAAACCTCCCCTCTGATCAAATGTGTGGGCTGAAATAGTAGGGGAATATTGAAAGTCCTCTCTACTCTGTCAAAATACTTTATGTCAGTATTGGAACAAAGGAAGCCTCATTTATTGTGGTTGAACCTTTGGTATCTCCAATGGTGGAAGCTCTCACTGAGGCTTTCCTGTGGCTGAGATATTTGAAACCTCTCTTGGTGACTTCACAGCAACATTGGTAAGTTTGAGTTGATGCTATTGCATTTCCTTGTGAACGCAGGAATTGGCTCTCCAACCACTCTCTTAATGATGGGTGAAATGACCTAACAAGCTGCAACTTCATTAGGGTGAGGCAGAGAGGTGCATGCATACACATCAAGATGCTGTGATAATATAAACCTTATTTTCTCAGGACACCAGGCTACAAGAGTTCCCAAAGATGCTTGATGAAGCCTTTCAAATGAAAACACTGCTAGTAGCAACTGTACTACCTGTTAAATTTCTTACTGTTCAGCCACTGTGTTCAAGGTATGCAACAAAGCAAAAAAGGCACATGCCAGTAGTATTCTGAAAATACATACTAATTTTGGGCACGCTAAATATTCACAAACACGTTTTTCATACCTCCCTTCAATATTTTAATTGAGAAGGCTGTGTTACCGTAATAGTGTCTCTCCTGTTGTTGATGCTTTAAAGAACTAATGACATGTGGTTTACCAAGCATAAAGAAGAGCTAAATTATAGGATAATCTAAATAAATATCTGAAAGGTATTGAAACTATGCAATTGAGAAACAAAGCAAAGGAATAAATTCTACTGATGCTGTGGGACACTGCATTAGCAATGGATGGAGAGTCAGGATACGTGAACTAAGGAACCTGGCATGATTCCTGAATATAAAAGTATTTTTAAGTACCTAAAAATTTGCACCTCTTGTTACGGTCCTTTCTGCACTGTTTAACCTTGTAGGAAACACTGTATGTTGAGTTTTGACTTTCAGAAGGTCTTCTGCTGGGGCTTGTGGAGGAAGGCCTATAACTGACTGGTCAGAGCAGTGGGGCATAGTCCTAGTGATGCCTGCTGATCCTCGGGGTTACTTGCATTCCTACTGTATTTCCACAGACATGGCTGAAGTGCAAGGGCAGAGCTGGCCTGGCTTGCAGCAGAGCAGGGTACATGCCTAGGATGTTCAGCAGCAATCAGAGGGTTTAATGGGCGTAGAGGATTCATTAATTCTGATCCATACAGACACATTGGCTTCTTGCACAGTCAGAATCTTAATTAGGCAATCACATTTTTTCCTTTCACAGTGACCATTGCTCCAGCTGTGCTGTAACTCTTTCCTCTCTTTCTCTGGAAATCTCTCTCCTTTTTAAAACTAAAAATTTGCATACCTCATTAGGAAAGTTTCATTCTTTTCTTTCCATCTTTCCTGTTTGCATCTACATATTTGCATATTTGTATATCTGCTTCTGATGTCCTATAATCCCTCAACCTTCGTTTTCAGGCCCCTGTTATAGAATGAGATCATGACTCCTTCTTCAGCTCCTTTATTCCTCTAAATCAAGGGTTTCTAACCCTTCTGTCCCCCCCCCCCAACCCTCAGCCCCTGCTGACTCAGTTAAATATACATGTGCTCTTTTCCCCTTTGTTCCTTCTTTTTCCTTCATCCCTCTGTGGCTGCTTTTCTTATGTCAGCTTTGATCTGTTTGCTGGCAACACTAACATTTTTAAATCTTTAATAATTTGTTATTTTTGTACATTGGTTCAAAATTAAATATATCTTGGAAAGGAAGCATGGGTTGGCCCATTCACTGCAGGAACAAACTCCTTGTTACCTGGGTGGGCAGGCTATATATGCTGTTGAAAATCTTTGCTGGGAAGTGCTGAGGCAATGGTCCAATCCACTGCATGCTGTCAATCTGGTCTCAATAACCAAGGCACATCCCAGATTTGGCTGTACAGCTAGCCCCACTTTTGCTAAGCCAAGCTATTCCAGCAAAGGAAAAAATGGAGGGCCTATACTTTATAACTCTTAGTGTTCCTGTGTTGTGGGTGCAGACCAAAACGATGTGGAGTGTGATCCTGAATGATGAGAGCTGTGATACAATTCTCTGGAATTTGGTAGGGCCCTTTTGTTCATCAGTGGGGGCACAGAGAGGTCCCTCATGTTTTATAACCCCTCACTCTCTTGGAGTTATTATCAGAGGCTTAAGCCACTGGTTCGGGTAGTAACTCTCGTGTTGCTGCTGTTACATTGCATTTTACTGTACTTAATCTGTCCAGACCTTTTGTGAAGATGGCATGAACTGGTATTAATTACAACTAGTGTTTTATGCTCTCCACCACATCGACTTGTAGTAGAAAAATGTGTAGAAAAATTGTGTAGAAAAATGGCCACCTTAATGACTGCAAGCTCCTCTGAAGCTATAATTTCCTCAACCATCCCTAGCTGTGAGGTTTTCTCCTGGCTCACACTTCATTATGGTACCTTCAATAATCTCTGACGGAGCAGGACTTTCTCAACAGTAATGATGTCAGTTATTTTCAACAGTAACAGTAGTAGATAAGTTCTGTGCCAAGTACCTGCAGAAACTCTTGGCATGAGTGCTTAACAGTGCAGCCACCAGCTGCCTTATGGACGTGATTCCATATGGCCACCCTGGTCTGCAGAACCTGCTCTCTGTCTCTGTCTTTTCTGCTCGTCAGATGTCTTCCAACCCTCCCTTCTAATTTAGCCCAAGAATAAAACCTTCCAACTCCTCCATACTCTATTCACCACAGTGATATTGAACCTTATTTGTGGCTTTTCCATACCAAAGATTGACTGGACTCTGTTGTTTTATTCCAGGTCACCGGTCTCTTCAGAAGATCAAGGTAAGAAGTGTTTTATAGACACCAATAGCATATTAAAAATGAGGCTAAAGACTAACTGTAAGCTGTGTTTTAACACAGCTGTGGTGGAGAAAAATGACTTTATAAAAAGGAAACTTTGATGTTGCTCAAACTTTGTTCACCCCTAGACAGCAAGTACTTGTTCATTTAGTTCAATATTTGGGGCTGGCAGAAGTTAAGCCTGTGTTGAGTTATTTGTAAAATTAATCTTGCTCAGCCAAACTGAACTATTGCAAGTGTTCGGAATTTATTCACACCAGTGTGTAGAGCTTCACCTATGAAAATTTATGTGTGAGCTTAAAGGATGATACATAGTTTTTGTGAACATGGGTTGATCTCTTATGATGCTTATACAACAGCACTTTTGTAACAGAGGAGAGGGGTTTGTGTTTAAAGGCTTGAACCCAAAAATCAGTTTGGTAGCATGGTGTGGAATTTAGTGCCACTAGAAGCTTCTACACATGAAAATCTCATGGCTTGAGTAACAAGAGTTGCAGGTTATGGTAACATACTTGCTCTGAAGGAGACTGAAGTATTTGGTCTTCCCCTATGGATAAAGAGGGAGTTTGCAGTAACTAACTGGCTAATAATAGACCTAGGTGGTATAAATATTTCTCTACAGAACATTAAAGTATGCTTGCATTGGTACAGAAATCCAGAGGCATACTGTAGGTGAGGCAATAATTGCACTGGCAGAGTTGCACAATGAATGGAGAAATAAAAAAAAAAAAAAAAAAAGGGTTAGGAGATTGTAACCGAGAGGGGAGAGTTCATCATGTAGCTCTGACTCTGGAATATTATTTTGGACCACAAAAGAAAAAAAAACACCTATTTTCTTCTGGCATTCAATTTATATGCAACACAATCAGCAAAATTTCTGGACAATACAATGAGTATTATTCAAGAAAGTTCTGGATAGGGAATAGTAAGGATTATTACGAATGGAGATGTAAGGAGGTCTGAGCCTGGAAGTATGTCACAGAAATATGTACGCCTGGAGTGTGGAGTGATGAGTTAGGTATCAACCTACATTGTCCTTGGCTCCAGCCAAGATCTTTTTAGTCCAGTATAGTGACTGTCAAACATATCGTCATTAATAAATTCTCTTCCAACTCCTTGGCATGTTATTTCTTAGTAAAGAAAGTTGTAAAGCAAGCCATAAAAATAGACTAACATGTCAGACCAAAGATATATCTAGCCCATCTAGTCCATTCCTAGTGTTTGATAGCAGTGGATCCTCTGACAACTAAGAGCACAAGAATTACAGAAGTATACAGTTTGAATTTCCTGGTGTGCCCTATCACCTTTCTGTGATTTACAGCTCATTGATTTTGTGAACTAGAGGTAGTTTTCTTGTTTAATAGTTCATCTGCTTTTTACCATGACCACAGCTTCTTAATATAAAGTACTAGAGATTTGTGAGAAGTTAACAGTATACCCCATTTCTCCAATCCTCAGAAAAAATTTGAAAACACTGTGGTCTAATACAGTATTTCAAGACCTGGACTCAAACTGCTTGTTGGTGCGTAAGCTTGTTAATGATAGACTGCTCTTGCTTTTTCACTTCTCTTACATTTATTCTATTGCTCCATTTTTATCTATTAATGGAGCAACAGACAGTGTAAATTTATTTCCTTGTATATCTTTAAACTTTTGTATTTCCTGATGTCATAATGCTTTCCTTCTTTCCACTATTTTTATACTGTTCTAGTTTTTCACAAAATCTTCCTGTTTGCCATCTACCATCTGCTTCCAGTCTGGCTTTTCAGGTTTGATAAATATCTCTGAATAGCCTCTTCCTTCCCTTTCTTCCCTTTCTCCCACAAGAAACCTTCTCTCAAATGCAGAGTGAAAGGCCTATGTTCCCTTGACCAATTAGTGATGTGATAGTGATAGTTATTAGAAGTTTTGTGTGGATTATCTAACTAGATTTGTCATCCATGTAAATATGTAGGAGCTTCTCTCAAACACAAAAGATTTCACATGCCTCAGTGACTTTTCAGAAAGAGAGGTCCAGTACTTGGATTTCCTCTCTCCCACTATGCCACATACAGACCATGGTAAATGACCACAGTACTTGAAAGAAAATGTGACAAAGGTGCTGTAGCACAAGCTCTTTTGAGCGTAGGTGCTTCTTAGTCCACCTTGTGCATGTGTGGAAGAATCCTGAATTAGTCTTGGATCTGAAATCTCTTATCTACACAAAAAAGAGAGGGTCCAGGAGAGAGCTGAAAACTTATCTCTGAATTGCCTGTCTTTTAGAGTGTTTATGCACACCTCTCCTGGTATATTTTTCTTGGAGTAAGTATCCAGGAGTCAGTTCTGAGATGCTTATATTCATTAATAATCAGTACTCAACTGTGTGCCTATTCAAGATGTTGAATATTCATCTGTAGTTTTATAAGGCAATAATGCTTTTGAGTGCACAATGGGGCAAGACCCAGCTGTAGAATAACTTACTCTCACTAGCATCACTCTATGTCAGCTGCTCTCCCCTGTTATGGGGCACATTTCGAGGGCTAATTTTCTGATGATGTGATGTGCTGGCTGTTACTAAGAAAAGGCACTTTCTCTGTTGTGTTGGATCTTTTGTTTTAACTTCCCATTTGGTTCCTGATCTTTTCTTCTGCTGTTTCTCTCTGTCTTTAATTTCCATCGTCCTTGTCTTCCTTTTCAAATGTCTCTTTCCCCTTGACCATGAGTTTTCATTCTGCATAGATTCTTGCATTGTGCTCTTCACTTTGGTTTCTGAATGTCCTGCTTCTCCTCCAGTGTGGACTGCCTGTTGCAAGCATTAGTTGCAAGCAGTAGCTGTAACATCTGTAGTGTAGTAAGAGAGTTGCTACCAAAATTAGCATCTACTGTGAGTGGCACTTCCATTAATCCCTGACAAGACAATGCATTATGCTGTCTTGAAGAGAGGGTTTGGATAAAGCACCATCTGTCTGGGACTGGGCATCTATTGAACAATTGTAACAGCACACAATGCTCCTTGTTGTGGACACGTGTTAAAGGCACCTTTCTCGGTTACCAAACAGAGCCATTTTAAGTATTATAGAAAGGGAAACAGTACTGCTAGAAAATCCCAAACTTCAAAAGAGAAAAACTAAACCTCTTAAAGATTTTAGAAGGTTTGTGTTTTTGTTCTTGGTACAGGTAGTTAGGAAATACGTAAGTACAGAGTGAAATCTGTCTTCTTCATTCCTTGTTTTTTTAATTAAAAAAAAAAAAAACAAACAAAACCACAAAAAGAGCAGATAAAACCCCTAACCTCCAAGCTCCCTAACTGACTGACAAAATGGAACAAGCCAAGTAAATACCAAAGCACAATAGTTTAGACAGGGCATTAGGGTGATGGCTGTGAAGAGTGAAATGGAAGGAGTACCTCTTCAGTCATGTGGGCTCTGGTGGAGTTACTTGCCCTGCAGCCTTGGAGGACGATGGTCTGTCTTTGGGTGTTGGGACTAGCTGAGTCAACAATAGGCAAGTGGCAGGGCCACATAACACTTGGTGCTTGTCCTGAGGGAGGGGATAGACAGCTGTATTTTCACTCTATAAAACACCGGGTCTTATGCACAGGAAGCCTGAAGTTGTTGGAGGTTATTGAAGGAAACCGTATCCATTGTTTTTAGATCAGGTATAGTACTGTGATGGAATGCAGACTTCTAATTCGTTGCCTGGCCAGTATGATCATTCCCTGATTATCGCTGGGTGAATGGTTGATGTTTACCAAACCTTTCATCCAGCAGCTTTCAGTACTGCACTGTACACTCTATGTATGCTAGATCATGTCCTGCCCATTCTTATTCACAGCTGGCCTGCAGAAATCTGTCTACAAATTTTCCCATGCTAATGCATTGAAAAATATTCTTCTATTTTACATTACCTTTGGTCTAGCTTCACCTGGGTTATTTTTACCATTCTTTGGTTACCCTGTGTAACAGAGTTGGCTGTTCTTCATCATCACCTGAGCAACTGAGGGAAATGCTCTTAAAAAGAGTACAATCACTTCCATTCCCATTTTAGTCTTATAGGAAACAATACCAGCAAACTCTTGAATGGCAACACTCAAAGATCTTTCAGATTCTGGCATATAGTGGTTTTATCCAGTATGGATATCCTATCCTTAGGAGGGATTTGTGCAGAGCCAGGAGTATATTAGAAGTGAAGTGGGTTTAAATGGTGACCTTCATATTAGCCTCTCTAAGAAGAGTTTTGCACAGGGATTGCTTGGCCCAGGTTCAAACTGGAAGTTTTGGGTGGGAAGTATAATTCTGTCTCTAGATGTCCCTCTGGATAGAGGGAGCTGCTGTATGAACTGTGTGGAAGGGTGTGATCAAGTGTACACATGGAAGACAGTGGCAGCTCCATCCCATACAGCAAAATGCTTTGCTATGCAGTATCTGCTCCTGCCTTGGAGGCATAATGTCCTGTGCATTATGATATTTGCTCCAGTGTTGTCTGCCCCATTAAAGAGAGGAGGTCTGAACCTGTGCAAGGAGGAAGATGGCTGTAGGAGCCCCATAAAATACCACAAGAGCTGAGAACACTCCTAGGACCTCCAATGCATGGGATGGTGCTGGATGCTGCCCTTGGGCCACAACAACCCCCAGCAGCGCTACAAGCTTGGGGAGGAGTGGCTGGAGAGCTGCCAGTCAGAGAGGGACCTGGGGGTGTTGATTGACAGCCGTCTGAACAGGAGCCAGCAGTGTGCGCAGGTGGCCAAGAAGGCCAATGGCATCCTGGCTTGTGTCAGCAATAGCGTGGCCAGCAGGGACAGGGAAGGGATCTCACCCCTGTGCTCGGCACTGGTGAGGCCGCACCTTGATTCCTGTGTTCAGTTTTGGGCCCCTCACTACAAAAACGACATTGAATGACTCGAGCATGTCCAGAGAAGGGCAACGCAGCTGGTGCATGGTCTGGAGCACAGGTCGTACTGGGAGCGGCTGAGGGAACTGGGGGTGTTTAGTCTGGAGAAGAGG